TGGCCAGCTGCCATTACTCCAGGTACTCCAGCTGCATGAAATCTTGGGTGAGGGCTTTCTTGGGATGTCCATAGATGCAGTGTGTCTTGTCAGCATACATCCCCATCATATTCAGCACTTCCCAGACCTCCTCCTCTGAAGCACAGTTCTCCTTCAGGAAGATCACAAACAGCACCATCATCAGGAAGCCAATCTGGTGCATGCAGTTTTCAGGGAGAATCCTTTCATCCGCACTGAAATCCGGCTTGCTGATAAAGGCACAGCAGTGACTGAAGGGATCCCCATCCTTCAGATTAACATCAAAGGCCAGCTCCAGGAGCGCACAAGCTCTCTTGAGGATCTCAAGGAAGTGATTTTTGTACGCTTTGACAACAGAATCCCCCTTGTCTGCCTTCGTAATTGGCTCTCTCATTTGATACTTCTCTATCAGGAGCATCACCCACAAGAACACCTTCTTTGTTAAAAGATTTTTGCTGAGACTTCTACTGGCCTGAAAGGAGCTGGGATTTCCCTCACCATCTTCATGGGCATTTGTGAACACAGCAGCTGCAGCTCCCTGGAAGGACAGTGGAGAGCCCTCTGTCCCCATGGTAGGCAAATTCTGGGAGGGGGAGTTTGCTGCAGTAGCTCAAGCATCCTCTTGGGCTTTGGTCTCATTTTGGGCCTGGCACTTTTTCCCCCCGGGCTCAGAGCTTACTCTTATGGTTGCAAGGCCTGGTGTCTTCTCCAGAGCACAGGACATTGCATTGCTGAAGAGCTCACCCTTGAAGAAAAGGATGAGATGTGTGTAGACTCTGGAGGGAAATTCTGACGTAGCACCAAGAAAGGCTATTTCTGCAGGTTACCTTTGCCTTGACAGTACTGCCATAGAAACCCGCAAGTAGGTCTGGGCAAGATTCTATGAAGCCTTTTCTATTCTTTCGGGTGTCGGCAGCTCAGAATGCTCCCTTGGACTCCTGAGTGGTCTGGGGACTTATCACTGTCTTGATCTGAGACTACCTACTTCAGACAAAAGCCTCCCTTCCCACAACCTCCCTGGAGGAAGCCAGGGGGCATTGGGTCTAACCACCATGATCCCCTGGGGCGGATCATCTGGGTGGGGCTCTATCTGGGTTCCTCTGTCCTGGGTGGAAGTTAAGTGGACTCGGGTCTTAGTTGAGATACATACCTTGACACCTGGTAGGACCTGACTTCTCCAGATCTCAAGCCTTGGGCCTGAGAACAAAATGGCTCTCCGCACAGCCACCAAAACCCCGAGACCTGGGGTTACTGCACTCGCATGGGGTGTGGCCATGTGGAGCCGCCTATGTTCTGCTCCACAGAATTCACACAGAGGGAGGCATTATTGCCTCCTGCAAGCCCTCTTAAATTGGATCAGCCAGGGATGTCAAGATACCCATTTGCTCAACAAACGAAGAAAGTTGGAGCCTGAACCAAACACCCATGCCTGGGTGCCTCCCAATGCAGAGAGTTGAGGCTCTGAGGGTCAGCGTTCTAAAGGAATGGCCCCCTCTCTTCAGAGTGCATGGAACCCCCTCAGTCCTCCCTTAGCACCTTACCTTGAATCTTGAAGGGACCTCTTCTCTGCTGTTGCCAGACCACCTCCTTCTGGTGAGGCACTAAACTGGGAAATGATTGGAGAGGAGCTGGGTGCCTGTGAGTCAGAACTGACCAGGTGGCACTGCAGTTGGCTTAGGCTTAGACAGGCTTTTTATTGTTCTGTTCTTCACTAAAACACATTGTATCCAACTTTGTTCTTTTGATTAATTGTAAAGGCAAGTCCACATAGTTGCCTCTGTAAAGATCCTGACTGTTTTTGTGAGTTTACATGTTAAGCATCAGTTTAGATGCAGCTGCTGTTTTCAATCGTATCTTTTCCCATGAAAGTCCCAAGTCCCTGCATGTCGTTGGTGTGGCCCTAGTGATCTGCCACACCAGCTTTCTGAGGTTTCTTCCAGGAGGGGACATGACAAAGTTTGGGGCAAGTGCCATTATGTTTTCATGGCATTGTTCCATGAACTTAAAACACAACAACAGCAGCACAGGTTTATGGCATAATTCACACATCATACAAATCAATAGATTTATCTTATTTAAAAGCACTGTGCAATCATCACCACATTCAATTTTAGGACAGTTTCTTCTTTCGTGTACTCATGGCTGTTAGCTTCCCATTCCTCCACCCCCACCCTCCACCTACCCTCTCAACCTCCCTGGCCCCCCGTCCCCAGGAAACTACTAATATGATTACTGTCTCCACATATTTATCAATCTAGGATTTGATATACAGGAAAACATACAACACCAAAAACAAAAAAATTAAGCAGTATCAAAATGAGACAGAAAAACCACAATGCATAAGAAATTCATATACTTTGTGTGAAGGCTTCTTTGATACATAATTACTTTGTGGATAATTAAATTAGATGATCATATGATCTCTATCTTTATTCATACTTTGATGTATTTTGCTATTATTGTATATGGTTGCACACTGCCTATACATTCCAAATTGTACTATTCTTCTATCTTGCTCTGGATTTTATTGGGAATGCCTTTAGTATTTCACATGTAAGTATGTTTGCTGCAGATCTGATAAACTGTGAATTCCCTACCAGTATAAGTTTGGCAAAGTTTATTAAGTAATGTGAACTGGTGTTGCATGTGGAAATATTGCTCTTTAGCATACAATTAGAGGCTCTTCTTGATCTTTAAACGTAGTAGATTCCAACTCACAGTATTTTGATATGCCTTTTGTATTATTTGGGCACAACCTATTTCATCATTCAATTCCCTGCTATCTCATATCTGCTAATCATTTATTTAGGATACTAGTCTCTATGTCAGTGAGCTTGGATGAACTGTTCCTTTATGGGAAATCATCAGCTGATCTTTGCTAACGGGAGAGCTAGCCTATTCACTTGAATCAGTCATTTTCCTTTGTTCCATAAGGTTTTAATTATGAATCAGATCTAACTCGATGGGTCACATTCTCAATTTGGTTTGACATGTAATATTTTAAAGAGGACTGAGAGTTGGATGAAAGATTCACTTTTGATATTCAATTATATTTATTCTTCAATTTCTATTTCTTCATGGAGTCATTTAATCATTGATATTTTGAGAAAAGTTCTATTATTTAAATTGAGTTTACAAATATACAGATATGATATTTATCTACAATTATGTTATCAAAGACATCCTTGAACATATCCAATTATAATGAGAAAAGGAAAAAATTAACCCAAAAGATTTGCCTGGCAACACTAGCAATCTTCAGTAGTTATAGGTTAAGCTGGATGAGATTAATTTATATTTCTGGGTTCTTTTATTATTGATACTCTAGACTTCAGAGTGTGCACTTACATTTCTAAAAAGCAAGAAAACTCACCAAATTGCCAGTCATCAAACAGGTTTGTTACCTTTATTCATTAATCCACTGAAATCTACATCATGGTAATTATCTACTTATAGCATTCCTTTTGAGATCATTAGCTTCAACATGTCTACAGATGCATTGTTATCAGGTGACATTTGGGATGGAAAAATGTCTAAGACCATTCAAGTTATTGGCTGAGTCCAATTCTTTGAAATCGGAGGATTGAGATTCTTGTTTCCTTGGTGTCTATCAAATTGGCGCACGGACCCTCTGCTTCTAGAAGTTCTTGTACTGTGTGGTGAGTATCTGAAACACTTCAAAATCCTTTCACAAAAAAGAGTCTTATCCTTTGAAGGAGTTCACCTGAATAGGTCAGGCCCACCAAAAACAATCTCCTTTTCTTGATGTCAATTGTGCTCTGCAGCATCACTTACTCATGGGACTAATAGCCCATCATATTCTCAGGGCTCTCTGGCACTCAATGAAAGGGTTTACCTAAAAATGAGCGCCTGCCTACCACACCTACAAAAGGATATCTGATTTCAGGTTGTGACCATAACTATTGCTAGAATGCCCAAGTTGTATATTTTGTTAATGAATTTAGAATAAAAAGTTTGAAAGTCCCCGATGCTATTGATTTATTTCCCCCTCAGCAAAACTGTTGTGCCTAATAGCTCCTACGTTGCATCAGGCAGCAGCTTAAATCGATTATTTGACCTGCGTAACCAAAACCCAGTGCTATTTTTTCCAAATTGAAAGACTACATTGGCACATGGAACTTCACAGGACATTGAACTTCACAGAGTCTTCATATTTACATCATCTCAGGAAGCTTTCCTTTTGCTTTTCATTATCGTAACAAATGCTATAAGGTACATGCCATAGCAAGATTGAGGACTGTCTTCAGAGTACTGAATAGAAATGTACAGCGTTTCAAACTCATTCATTCTTTTTCCTATCACTGTAGCATTTTTGTAAATGTGAGGATCAATTAATTACATTTACATCCCAGTATTTCAAAGGATTGGCAATGGTTCTGTATTACAATGAAGTGTCATGCAAGGAAAACTCACTGGAAGATGGACACCTGGATTTTAGTGATGGCTCCGCTCCAACATGCCTCTGAATTTGACCACACAGTTTCCTGGACAGGCCTCAGCTGCCCTCATAAAAGACTGTTGGACAAGTCTATTGTCAGTACACGTATTGACTGATTGTCACTGATGCTTACTACAAATAGAGAAGGATTTTAGATTCGATACAAAATGTACAACCTAAAATAAAATTCAAATGACATTAACTCATTGGGACAGAAGCAGTCTGCCAAACAAATATAACAACAGACAGTGGTTGCTGCTGTGGGGTGCTACCAAGTCATTTCTGACTCAGAGTCGCCATGTGTACAGCAGACTGAAACACTGCGTGGTGCTGTGCAGTCCTCACAATTGTGCTCATTTTGGAGCTGATGGCTGCAGCCACTGTGTCAACCCTTCTCCTTGAGGGTATTCTACTTTTTTGCTGACTCTTGGATTTACCAGGCATGTATCATTGTCCAGGGACTAATCTCCCCGGATCTCCCATCCAAGGGATGTGAGACCAAGTCTTGCCACCCTCACTTGTCAGGAACATTGTGTCTGTACCGCTATTGGGACAGATACCTTTATTTCCCTGGCAGCCCATGGCTCTTCCAATATTCTCTTGCAACACTGCAATTCAAAGGCATCCGTTCTTCTCCAGTCTTACTTATTCATTCTCTAGCTCAGCAGGGAACTGATATATCCTGGCTGGGGTCAGGTGCACCTGATCCCTCAAAGTGGCAGACTTATTCTTCAGCAACTTTAAAGAGTTCTTGGGCAGCAGATTGGCCCAATGCAATACTTCATTTGAATTCTTGACTGTTCCATCATCTATGGATTCAAGTAAAATCAAGTTTGACAATTTAATATTTTCTGTATTCATTGTGATGCTATCTATTTGTCCGGCGGTTTTGATTCTCTTTATTTACCTTGGTGTGTAACGCGTACTGAAAGCTGTCGTCTTTGATCTTCATCAGTACATGCTTCAAGTCCTCTCACTTTCAGCTAGCAAAGTTGCATCATCTGCATGCCGCAGGTTGTTAATTAGCCTTCCTCCAATCCCCATGCCATGTTCTTTATATAGTGCAGCTTCTTGCATTATTTTCTCAGCATATGGATTAAATACGTATCGTGAAGAGATATAACCCAGATATTCACCTTCTCTTTTTTAAACTACGCAGTATCCTCTTGCTCTGTACAAAAACTGCATTTTTATCTATGTACAGGTTCCATCCAAGCATGCATACGGGTTTAGGAAGACCCATTCTTCACAATATGTAAGTAACAATTGTAAAATATGGCACCTTG